TGGAGTAGTTTCAGCACTTAGAAATAAATGAATTAGAAGGTAGAGCTTACACACAGTTTAATCCTTTCCTTTTACTGGACTCAAAATCCTTCTTTCCCTTTCACACCACAGGGAGATACAGGCTGTGTTTCCATGTGTTATAGAACTGGCCAAATACGTTCAGGAGTTTAGCTTTCTTCTGCCATTTATCGCTAGAGGCTGGACTGATCCTAGGCCTCATCTGGAGAGGGGAGTCCCACATCCCTCTACTCAGACTGGTTTGTGCTAGGGCTGTTCTCCATGAATTTTCAGTCCAGGGGCACCGTTGCATTGAAGGGACTAAAATATCTGGGCTTGATGAGTCTCTCTTTTTAAAGGCTATTACACATGCACACAGATGGCAAGGAAAGAATGGCAGGGGAGCTGGAACTAGGGAGTTTCAGCAGAAAGAGGATACCAGAGTGCATTGCAGGCAGCCTGCTATGATAGTGAGAACACCTCAGCTCCTGGAGAGAGTGCAAAAGGAAAGCCCCTAAAACCAATGCTCTTTTATTCCTGATACATGATTCTTAGAGACAGGGGCTAGCCCACTGGAAGGCCAAACTCCCTATTTAGGAGATTCAGAGATGAGAAGGGAGAAGGTTTTAGAAGTGATGGTATGAGACAGGATGAAATATGGTAGAGGAGATAGAGAGGAGGAAAAGCAGAGCAGGTATTTCTCAGCTTCACTACTTCAATCTTTTCCCCTCTTAATTCTTCTTCATTAAATGTGAGACCCTTTGTGACAAATAGGTTTTCTTTAACTTTTCTGTTAAAAAATTATTGTGATTGCTTGGCTGTTTTGTCCTCTTCCCTGTGCTCGCCTCATGGAGAGTGCAGAGTTCTTGAAAACATCACCACAGGGTAGAAATGGCTACTCTTATCTTTGGGACTGCTTGGATCAAGCTCTGCATTGCCCTGTACAGAGGCTTTTCCCTACTCAAGGTACAGGTGCTTTCCAGTAGCCAGTGGTGCAGAGTGCAGTTGTAGGAGAAAGGCACACAAAGGAAAGGAACCTTTTAACCTGAGCTGCGAAACAGCCTGTGCTCATGATATCCCTGTCCTGGGTTGTCTTCCCTAACTCTTTCCCATCCTAGTCAGAAAGCAGTAGGCATCTCCAAGCATTCCTTTGGCTATTTTTGCTGACAGACTAAGTCAACAGCCCCCATCTTTCCAATCTGGACCTGAGGGACTGGCACTGCCACCCCTGGAGCTGTTGTCATGAGCAAACAATGGTCCAAAGAAGCTGCTTTTGCTCCCAGAGGGGTTCAGCTGTCCCTGGACCCTGTTGTCACCAGGTGGCACCCAGCAGTGTAGGTGGTAAGAGCTATTAGGACCACTTCATAATGATCATCTTCGTCATTCCCCTTCTAAACTGGAAAGTGACCCTGGGCTGCGTGGGATTTTGTTGATCCAGTACACCTGGATACAGGGAGCTGAGCACCCCATGTGCTGTGCCAAATGCAATATCAGCTTGATGACATCATCCCTTTTCTGGTGATCGTGGGTGTGCACCCTCAGCTTTCAACAGTGTCATTCAGTCCTACATGCTACTCTTCTTTCTTGGGAAGGAAATTTTTCCTATCATATCACCTCTTGGTCAGCTGGTCATAGTTATGGTTTAGTAAAGTCCTTAAATTAAGTGCTTAACTTTACTTATGTGCTGTCAGGTTGTCAGTTTGATTTCCTAAATAATGAGAACCTTGTGATTCTCTTCTCTCTATCCTATTTATCAGCTGCCTTCCCTAATAAGTTTTCTAGCTATTGGCCCTTTTCAACCAAATTTTCCAGAGTCAGTGATCTCAAACATAATAAAGCTATTGCAAGTTTTGTGAAGAGCAAAGACTTGGAAGGGAAAAGGCTGAAGTGCCCTGAAAGAAGGAAATGTTGCTACGTGAACTGAACCCCCATGGAATTTCAAAGGACCCAGTTAAGAGAGAGCCTCACATGCTCTTCACTCCTGGGAGAGGCCCCGGTCAGAGCTTGTTACTGATGAGCTACACATTTCAAGGAAGCCATGGTAGATCTCTCTTGCTCTTTTCTTTGGTGTCCAAGGTAATTCTTCATGTCTTTCATCTTTGGAATTGTACATTTCTTACAAGGCACATGTGAGAGAACCAGAAAGATTGGACTATTTGTGGTTTCTTCTGGACATAAATTCATTAAGTCCATGTGCCCACCCATGCATGTCCATGAGACAATCTGATGTAACAACCCTTAATCACCAGCTCAGACATTTGCTTTGCTCCTAACCTGCCTGTGTATTGGATAAAGGCTCACTTTTTTTCCTAAGGATGGAGACCGATGACATTGCATGGAAGGGGGTAAAGACACAATGTATTGCCAGGCTGTGAAAGCAGCATGTCTCAATGTGAAACAGCAGGAAAACTGTCAGTAAATTAAGATGGAAAAACATGAGGTGCTCTAGAAAGGAGCATTTTATCACAGGCAGCACCCTGTGCTGGGAATCTCCCAAGCCAGCTGGCAGGGAACAGTTAGGGCTGGAGTATTTAATTCTTAGATACCTCATTTCAGGTGTGAAGGACCTTCAGCACTCAAAGTCCTGATCCCTCTACTGAAATTAGATATGTAAACCTTCCTGAGTGAACTTTTCTCAGGTTTGGCTGGAAGGGGAGACCTGTCACTGCTCCTGTACCTGCAGAGCAGCTCACTACTCTAAGACTTGCTCAAATTACAAGAGGACAGGGTTCAGCTGCTGACTGCTTCCAGGAATACTGATGCCAGGCAGTTCACCTCACAGGCAAATCACTGTCAAGGAGCCACTGCAAACATTTCTTTCCTTCTCCCTGTGCTGGTGAACATGCAGTGAAGTCCAGCAGCTGAATGAGCTCTGTCAGGGAAAATTAAGAGTGATCCCCTATGGCACAACACATTATGGCTTGAACTGAGGGAGTTGAATGCTCTCACTAGAAGGAGCAGATTACAACCTGGCTTGCCCACTCCTTTCATGAGTGCTTCCATGGCTGAGTTACTACAGAAATTTGGAACAGTAGCACCGTGCTGGCCTGTGTCCTATGAGAATAGGACATATCTTCTCTGTTGCATTCTGAGACCCTCTCCCCTTCTGATTCCCTCTGGGTGACAGAAGCAAAAAAGTGCTCAGTCTGCAGATTTCTCTGGCGCTTGGGTTGTCAGATTGCTGCTGCTGCAGTTCCCAGTCCAGGGGAAGGACTGTTCTGAAATTGTGATACATGCACTGAATCAGCACTGCAAGTGCTTTGGAAATTTTGAGGTCAAAGCCACAAGTGCCAGTTGATGTGTGGCACTATTAGCTGGAAGCTGAGCACTAGGGGACTAAGGCACTACTTATGTAAAGTCTGCTGCAGCTCTAACCCTCGGTCTTTTGCCCAAGGTCACATAAGAAGTCCACAGCAGACAGCAATTGGAAACTAAATAAATCACCAGAATCCTAAGCTAGTGTACTCACAGCTGAATCCAATCCTGAAAAATAAAAGCTTAAAGCCAGATTGCATTGCAGTTGTTGCACCCTTCATATGGGTCATTGTTAGCATGGGTAATGGTGTCATGAGGACTCAAACTGATGGTAGACATCCAACTATAGAGTCATGGAAATATAGAATGGCCTGTCTGGAAGGAATCTTAAAGATAATCTAGTTCCAAGCCACTGCCATGGACAGGGACACCTTCCACCATGCCAAGTTGCCCAGTACTCCATTCAACGTGGCCTTGAACATTTCCAGGGATGGGACTTGCTTCTCTCAGGTTTCTATAAATATGTATCTAGTAACTATCAAGCAAAAAATAGCTATCCTATTAAACAACAATGTGATTATACTACCAACAACACTCATTTCAGATGGAGTTCAAGCATTACTTAATTTTCTTTTCTAACATTCTTTCAAATGTTATTTGATCACTCACCTGCATAAAGTAACCACTGCCTGACAGGTAAGTAAAATCTGGTTAGTTTTTGGATCTTTCTTTTTGGCAGTCAAGAGGCTTGTTGAGGAGGTCAGCAGACCTTGAACTTGACAGTGGACTTTTTTTGGGTCCTAGCCCTCAGCAAGCATATTTTCTTATTCACATTTCCTACACTCTCAGGGGTGCAATGCATTTTCTTTCTGTATCTGATAAATAAAGCTAAAGTGTTTCTTCTGCAATTCTAAATTCACTTTCTTTTCAAATATATCTTTTTGTTAAGAGTGAATATTTGCAAGCCCCTGGTAAAAAACATGCACCTAACAATCGAGGCTTGCAGCTGTATGATTCCCTAGAATATAGCTACACTACAAGAAAGAATGCTAGAAATCTAAATTGTGACTTTTACCATGATTTATTTTACTGAGGATTAATGAATCATTAGTTCACGAAAGAATTAACTTCTTAAAGAGAGAAAAAACACTCTTTTTCTAGCACAGGAGTGAATGGTTGCATTAACAGGCAGCTATAGACTAATTCAAAGCAGGCAACCAAGTGTCAGAAAAGCAAAAAGGGATTGAACACTGCACCAACAGAGAGCTTTTGAGATGGGGACCTAGGACACCCGTTTGCTGCACAGCTTGATAAGGTTTCTTGGCTGACTGCTCCTAGTGGGATAAAAAATGGGACTCTGTCCAGAATACAAGTGGGATACTGGCTTGCACAGAATGAGAAAGGATCAAAAGATTTCAAGTTATGGACTCAGGTGCTGAGATTTGGGAAAGGTCAGCCGAGCTGAGCTCATGTTTCTGAGGTTTGCAAGGTTACTTGCAATTGCCTGAGTTTCTGACAGACAATCCAGAAAAACTATTTCTCAGCAAACTGAGAAGAGCACAAAAGAGGCTTTTTCCTGGGCTTTGCAGAATTCAGGAAGGGGCTAACTGAAATCCAACTAAACAAACTTTTGGATGCCCAACCTCCCCTGCATGAGACCATTTGAGTCTCCTGTCTTGCAGCTCCTCTCCATAACTCTAAGCAGTGCTGTGGCACTGACCCCGACTGGGACATGCAGCGGCACTTACCTCCAGGACCATCTCTGTCATCTGGAACTGCTTCTGGGAGACCTTGTCAGAGCTCACAGGCTCATGGAAGAGCAGGCAGAGCATGTCATACTTCTTCAGTGCCTGCTTGTAATTCTTCTCGTTCAGGTCGATCACTCGGTCTTTCCCATCATAAGTAGGGAAGTTCAGTCCTTCTTCTGCCTTGCAGCAGAAAAGCAGGTAAAAACCTGCCAGGATCCAGCAAATTGCCTTCATAGGGGCACCCTTGGAGTGCAGCAAAGGGTGCGTAAATGTGCCCCTCTCTCTTAATTTGAGAAGAGAGGGAGACCAAAGACTCCAGGTGAAGTTTGAACTAAGTTTCTCTGAGTTTCTATCTGCTGCTTTCCTAGTGTTGAGCCCAAACACTGCAAGGCTGGTGGCGAGCAGCAAACTTTCCTGTCCTGTACTCACAACAAAGAGAGAGACAGACGGGAGAAGCTGTCAGGCCAAGCCCTGGATACCTTACATAGCTGTGTCCAGCTCCCGTGTCATTAGGAACTCCATTTTTAGGAAGCAGTTGTTTCAGGCTAAAAATAAACCCTGCAATGAATAAAAAGGACAGATATGACACCATTGAGGGACTTGCTGGCACTCTGCATCATCTGAGAGAGAGGGAGTGGGCAAGAGGGAGGGAGTGGAAGATGTGAGTCCTGGGAATATGCAGGCAGGGTTTGAGAAGGTACAGACTTCACTTGTACAGAGAACCAAGGCACAGACTGTCCTACTAGGAATTGACAAAAATAGAAGGTATTTACTGCAATTTATAAAAAGGGTATCTCTCTTTACATCCCTTTGGGCATCACAGTGATTAGGCTTTTGATAACAGATCTCAGCTTAAACAGTCTCAGAGCCTCATCTGCATCACTAGATGAAATGTCCTGTTTCCTCATCAGCAAAGGACGTGAATACTCCTGGGACTTCTTCCTCCTGCCTGGAGCACCATTTGGAGCTGCTAGCTGACATTCAAGGTGCTTTTTGAAGCACATTCTCTGCTTGTGGGGCAGCAGGAGAATTGCTGGCCCTTAGACCTGTAATCCAAAAGCAGAGGGAAGCTTATGTTGCAGCCTCCCATTTTCACAGCAGTTCCCAAGCTGCATACATTGCTGGTGAGTGGTTGAACCTTACCATGCTAAGGGGGCTGACAGGTGGGAGGCATGTACCCAAGCCAGTGCCTTGGGGCAGGAGGCAGGGCTCTCCTCAAGAGGACGGTGAGATGGCACCTTAACCTCCAGCCATCCTTTCTGTCACCTGCCTGTTGGACTGGAGCATGTTTTTCACAAAACCCTCTTGCATTTTCCAGCAAGCTGTCCTGCATATTCCTCCTTCTTCATATCCCAGGGATGGTGGCCAGGTCCTCCCGCTCTGGGACCACAGCACCAGCTGCCGCTTTGCTGTATCACCTGCACAGTGCTGCTGGGGGAGAGCGGTTCAGAGGCACAGTCCCTCAGCTCTTCCTGTCCTCTGACCACAGTGTCACCTCTGACCCATGACTGGCAGCAACAGGCAGGTGGAGGCAGGCCAGCTGGCCACAAGCCAGCCCCGGGGCTGGCATGGATCCACTGGAAAAGGCCTGCTGAGGGGCTGGAAGAGATGAGCTTGACAGGGGGCATGGCTCCCTTCTCCCTGCCAAAGTGATGTGCAGACAAGTGGCCTTATCAGGTCTTTTCCTTGCATGCTGCTCCATCACAGCTTTGCTTCATCCACATCAGGGAAGAGACAGTATCTCTTCTTAATGCAGTTGTGTCCATTTAATTGTGTGTCTGGGATTATTTCAACATTTGGGGCAAAAGGTGAACATTACTTAACAATTACAGAATCATAGACTCATTTGTGTTGTAAAAGACTCTTAAGATCATTGAGTCCAGCCATTAATTAAACACTGCCAAGTACACCACTAAACCATGTCCCTAAGCATCACATCTACATGTCTTTTAAATACTCCCATAGATGGTGACTAGAACACTTTCCTGGGCAAATTAAACACATCTCCTGGGTGACTTAAGAACACACATCCTTTCACTTCTATGTCAGCTTTCACTACCCACCTGAACAGCCAACAACATACTGACTGAAACCCTCTTGGTAATAGTTTCCAAATCTGTCTTATTTCCAAAGCTTTTTCAGAAGTTCAACATTTGCTGGCAAATTGAAGTCCTAATGACAAAGCCTGAGGAATCTGGGTAAAAGCCAAAGCAAGACAGCCTTCAAAATATACCTCTTAGAGGCCGCCTTCAGGGGCAGTCATTTTTAGAGGGAGAAGTAAGTCTGAATAAGTCTGATTGCTTTTAGTGGGAGACACAAGACTTGTGTCACAGTGGGTGGCAATTGCTGGTTAGGTTTATGCTGAGTGTTTAGGATGTAAAACACAAAACCAAGCTTGTGGGATGATTAGGCATACATTAGGCTGGTTGCTTGCCTTTGAAGGACCCCCATGGATCTGGGGTGCAGGAGCAGGCTTCACTGGTGTCACAATTTGTTTTAAAGCAGGAGCACATTAGACAGGGTGTGAAAATGAAACGTTTGCAGCTACTTCAAATATTGGTTTATGAGGCTTCTGACCTCCTTTATTCTTGTAGATCTTCAGCAATTGCTCTACTTTGATATTTCTCAAGCTATTTTTCATGCACTTTTTTTTTCTAGTCTGAATAACTTTTTAATCTGCCTAAATTAGATACAATCCAATTTTCATTTTCTCCTCTTTTTTTTTTCTGTCAAAAAAAGGAACAAAAATGCTTCTTATTCACAAAAATTGTTGCTTTGTTAGCCCCACATGAATCTCATTTATAGGCTTGTGGCATGAGTAGCAAATATTTTTGATTGTTAGGCTTCACCTCTGCATCAAAGGGAACTCTTCCAGCAGACCAGCCCTGGGTGTGATGGTCACCAGAGAGTCCATCTCTTTGTGTCTCCACTCAGAACCTCAGTGGGGCTGCTAGGGCTAAATCTAGTGGATATTTTCTGTGGTCTTCTAGCTCTAGCTGTATCTATATGAAGTTCAAGATACCTTGTTCACCAAGGCAGAAGTAATGGTGAATTCCTCAATGGTGAACTGCCTCGATCACCTGAAATTCTTAATTTTAATGAACTTCAGTCAAAGCAGATGTTCTCCTTGCAGCCCTGCCAATACAGACCTGAAATCCCGGATTCATGTTCAGAACAGCAGTTAAATACTTGAATCTGAGAAGAGCTGCTTTGTTTTTTTCCCTGGGGAATAGCAGAGCTGAGACTGAAGCAGATGTTCCCACAACCTGACAAAGGCCATATGTATTGTGCCTTTCTCTTCATCATCTCTCTTGGTGCTAACAGCAGCACACTCCAATGTGCTCATCTCAACCCCAGAAGCAAAACTCCTTGGAATTTCAAGTGTGTCCATTCACTCTCAGATAATGTTTTAAATTTGGAATTTTGGGCCAGGCTCACAAAAAGTACAGTGTGCAGACCCCATGCATTTGGGGAATCTGAGTTTTGTTGAAGGCCCACTTCAACAGGACACTGGTATAAGTTTTCTCTGTGTGTCAAATCCTCTTTCATACAGTAAGAGCAGTAGAAGTTCTCCAAGGGAGGGAAGAATGAGAGGAACAAAGAAATTTCACAGGCTTCTCTGGAAACTTCAGATTTTGCACACCTCTGTTCACTGCAAATACTTTTTGCTATCTACCTGTATAGTCTAGTGTCTTCCTGATCCCATTTAACTGCCTGTGGTTTCAACACATGTATTTCTGTGGGCAGTGTCACACGAGGGAATGATATGGTGTGAACTAAATTCTGGGACACTTGCCTTTCAGCTCAGGTATCTCATTTCCTGGCATAGCTGGCATCTGTTAGTCTCTGATAGACGCTGACTGCAAGGTTCAACCTACCAGCTCTGATTACTTAACCATTGACTCCTTCATCCATTGTGTTGCTGCATCTCTTAGCCCTGCCTCAAGAAACCAGTACAATGCTTTCCCCCAGCTAACTATCCCAGAGATGTTTTCCTGAAAGCTTTCTGAGGAATGAGCTGGTAGAGCTCAATACCTGTCCACTCTGACAGGTGCTCATGTTGTTCAAACAACCTTTAGAACTGGTCCAAAACTTGAGGCAAAGAGATAATTAAGAGGAAACGCTGTTGGTTTATTCACTACTGTCAGCTTTCTGGGTTCATCCATCAAGCAAAATCCTAGCTCCAGGGATTTAGTTTGCAAAACCACCCTTGACATTCATTGAAGTAGGATTTTACTGTATTTCTTCCAATTTTGTGAGGATAGATAGTCAGTAACAGAGCTCAAAACAGTACAACCTCATCCCTTCAATTCAGGCTTGCAGAAATGCAGGGTGAGGACGTAGGATAAATAAAAATCTCCTTCTTCTTGATTTTTTTTTCTACTTTTTTCCTACTTCCTTCCTATAAATTAGGGATATATGCTTGCTGTTCCTCCCTCCTGGCCACTGCAGCTGCACTCCATGGTGCTGTTCTCACCTTCACTGTCCTTTCTATCTCACACGGTAAAAGACGTCCCCAGCCACTGCTGATCCAAATGCTTCAGTGAGCCTTTTTTCCAGGGTTTCAGGATTTAGGGTTCTGCTTTAGTTAATCTCTTTTCAAGCTTCTAAGACCTTGTATGTTTTGCAAGATAGGAGTATTCAGAAAATATGCCTTTTGCCACCAGCTAGCCAAGCAAGGTCATAGCTTGCACCAGGGTGGGAGGCTCAGAGGCAAGCTGAACCTTCCTGAAGAGACCAAGGGGAACAATGTCATCCTGAGAAAAGCTCTGCAGTGTAAAGAAACCTAGTTCTCTCTCCCTTGCCTTTGACCCTGAAAGGTGATAAGTCCTTAATAGTACATTACATTGCCTGTCATGCCAGTGATGGCAGGCAAGTACAAGGCAGAGGAGCTGTATCATTGGCACTACCTATTTTACCTACTACAAACTGCCAGAGATCATTATAGTACCTGACTTCTATATATAGTACTTTGACTGTGGTGTCTTGAGACCTACTATGTGATAAGAAGATGCTATAAACCCTTTCTGACTCATGGACACTGGTTTTGGTGAGGAAAAACAAATACAGTACAGACAAAAGCACTTCTATGAAAGTCTATAGAGGGATGTAAAGGGAAGGTAAAGGAGATAATCCAGGTGTCCTAACTCATTCTCAGACACACAAGCATTTAAAAAAAATCTTGTGTTTTTTAGGCATTGTGGCTCTGTGCCACCTTAGGGGGATCATTGAACCTCTCTGCCTTTGGGACCTTGCCTGGCACCTGTGACCTGTACGTGTCAAAAAGTAATTTAGAAGGTCAAAACTGGGACGGTCCCAGAAGGACTGGGATAGTTCCCTCTTAATGGGCTAATAATCCCTACACAGGAAGAAAGGATTTAACTAAGACATTACTGTGGCCAAATGGAAATGTGCCCATTGGCATGTATGGAAATGGGAAGGGAAAGAG